GGATATTTTTTCGGATCCGCATTAATTTANTTATTTATAAAAGCAGTAACTATTATAAATAATTTAATAATAAAAAGTCTTTTAAAACTATTAATTATAAAAGACCTATTAGCCTTAAATATAATAATATTAATTAAAAAGTAAATAAAGCCTTTTAAATTTATATATAAGGCTTTATTATTTATTTTAATAAAGTATTTTAAAAAACTTTTAAATATATTAAAAGCCTTTATATATAAAATAAAGTATAAAATGCTTTTACTTAAAAACCTTATTTTAATAACCTAGCTTTAAGCAGATATTATAACTTTATTAAATAAAATAAATAAGCCTTATATAAAATATATATAAAATAAAGAAAAAGATAATAAAAAAAGAGAAAAGAAAAGATTATATAAAAAAAAAGATTAGCTAAAAAAATATAAAATAAATAAAATTAAAAATAATATCTTTAATATAATATTATAAAAAATATTACTTTACTTTAACTACTAGCTTAAGTAAATAAAATAAATATAGCTAGTAAAATATATTTACCTTTTTAAATAGATTTATAAAGCCTTAAACCTTAACCTTAAAAAGCTTAAATTAAACTTTAAAAAGGAGAGCTTATTAATAAAAAAATCTATAGAAATAGTATTATTAATATAAGTTAAAATATACCTTTTATTAGCTATATAAGCTGCTATAAATAATATAATAGTTTATATAAGGGTGCTGCTAACCCCTTTTTAAATCCTTAAAATAAGCCTATTTAAAATAAATAGGCCTATATACTTATATACTATAAATATAAAAATTACTTTAATAAGCCTAAAAGAGGTTTTATTAATAAAACTACTTTTATATAAGTAACCTTATACTTTAATTAAATATTTTATTATAAAAGTATTTTAACTAGTTTATAAGTAAAGATTATTAATAATATTTTTAAAAAATTATAAAATAAAAATAAAAAAAATAATAAAAGCTATATAAAAGTTATAAAATTTTATAAAAGAAAATAAAACTATATTTACCTTTATAATTATAAATCTTATAACTACTATATTTATTTTATTAAAGCTACTTTTTATAAACTTTATTAATATTATAATAAAGCTAAATAATAAAATAAAAGTAAATAAAGGGATAAAAGTAAATAAAAAAAAGAACTAAAATATAAAAAATAATTTTTTATTAAACACTTTTAAATATATTTTACTAGTATTAATATAGCACCCTTTAATTTATTAAAAATAAATTAATAAAGTAAAAATATATTATAACTTTTTAATTTTATAATATATTTAGCCTATACTTAAATATACTTTAAAAATAGTTAATAATAAAATATTAATATTATAAAGTATAACTATTTTACTAATTATTTTTAAAAAAGGATTAATTTTTATAATATAAATTAAAATATTTAATTTATTAATTTTTACTTTTATAATTTATATATATAAAATAAAGTTTAAAGCCTTAATTAAGGACTAAATAAAAATAAATTTAAAAAAATATATAATTTAATATTATAAACAGTTTATATTAAGGATAAGATATAAAGAATCTTTAAATTACTTAAAAGCTATAATAAAAAATTATATAAAAAAAAAGTAAAAGAATACTAACTATATAATAAACCTTATAAAAAAGCTAGTTAAAAAGGTTTACTTTAAGCCTTAAAACTACCTGCTAAAACTCTTAGTTACTTTAAGGTATATAATAAAAATAAAGAATATTAAGGTTAAAAAAAGCTACTATTTATAAAAAACCTAATATATGCCTTATATTTATATTAAGGATAAAGCTATTACTTTTTTAATTTATTATTTAATAAAATTACTATATAAATATAAGGGCTTATTTAGTATTTATTAATTATTTATAATTTAAAAAATAATTTATATTATAAAAGTTACTTTTTAATATTTTATAAAGTCTTTTAATAACCTTTTAATATAATAAATTAGTTAAACCACTTTTAAAAAAGTAAGGCTAATAAAGATTTTAAATATAAATATAAAGAAAGCTAAAGATTAAGTAAAGGATAAGAGATTAATAATTTATTTTAAAATCTTTATTTTATATTTAATAAAAGATATTTAAAAGCTATATTTTTTTTTTCCCTTATATATAAAAAGGATAGTAAAAATAGTAAGCTAAGAGCCTTTTTTAAAAAGGTTAGTTATATAATTATAAGGAAGGTTAATAAAAAGCTATATAAAGGCTATAGGGATTTAGTCTTTTATATTTATATATATACTTACTAGCTAGTTAATTAATTAATTTTATTATATTAAGACCTCTTTTCTGCTAAAGACCCCTGCTTCTCCTTTATCGCAACACGGTATAACTAAACATGCTTTCTAGAATCAACACCAAAATTGCCAAATCTCAAGGGGGCCCCCCCCCCTCCTCCTCATGAGCTTGATCAATGCCTCGTTTTCCCTCCCCGCCCCCCTCCCCTCTCGAAGTCCCCATATTCAGCTGAGCTCAGCTCAGGCAAGGCAAGGTAAGGTAGCATTCCCTTATCTGTCAGTCCGGCAAGCGTAAAACCCGATGGCGAAAATGTTGCTATATCCGCCCTTTTTATTACTGCTGCGCCTCCCCCAACATACATACGCAACGACCCCAAGTCAGGCACACAGATGAATAATGCCCGTTCGCGATCCTAAGGAAAGAAGGTGGGAAGAAGAGGTCATTCTGGAAGATGATGGCCTGCACACCTAACAGAAAAGGGGAACACCTACCTACACCTAACAGCAAAGATGAAATTGGTAAAAGGTAAAGGGTACTTTGAGGGCAAGTACCTCCCTTTTGACAGCTAAACTTGGGTCCTCACCTACATAAGGATATGCGTTGTAAGAAGGATGATTACCGTACATGGAATGATTAGAAGCCCGCTTGGAAGGAATCCTCTTTTTGCTGGCCCGCGTCTAAGCCGCACGGCGTCTCTCGGGCCCGAGTCGGGCGTCTTCGCTGCCGAATGGGACAACGCTCGCGGTGTGTTTGGGTTGGTGATTGAGCCGCGCGGGAGTACATACATAGTGTCTGTTGATGTGATCCTACCTACCTACTCCTTCTTGCATGGCTATAATTGTCTTGGACAGGCGGTTGGGGCCCTGTGAAGAGAGACGGGATAGGTAGGATTGAGGGATTGTTCGTGATGGATTATACTAGAACTAGAGCATGTGGAGGAGCCCAAAACTATCGACGCTTAAGTGACCCTGACAACAACAGAAGACATGCAACCCTGAGTATCCCATGCCCATACGCCGTAGCAAAAAGAAGTAAGGATGACAAAAAATTGATGACGTGCTGACAACGGCCCCATCCAAACTCCATCGAGACGGAAAGAAGGAAAAAAAAGTCATCACACAACCTGCTTGTTGCGAAAGCCAAGCCCCGGAATCTTGGTCCTCAGGCTCAGGCTGCTCAGCACCACGCTGATGCTCGACAGGGCCATGGCCAGCGATGCCCACACAGGATCCAGCTTGACGTGGGATCCGCTCGATGTCCTGATGCCATACAGGCATCCCGCCGCAATGGGGATGGCACACACGTTGTACACAGCCGCCCAGCCAAAGTTGAGCTTGATCCGGCGGAAGACGACGCGGCTGAGGTCCAGCAGCGTCAGCACCGAGTGCAGGTTCGACGTGGCCAGCACAAAGTCGGCGCTCGAAATGGCCACGTCGCTGCCCGACCCAATGGCGATGCCCACGTCCGCCGTCGTAAGCGCCGGCGAGTCGTTGATGCCGTCTCCCACCATGGCGACCATGGGGCGGTGGCCGTTGCTGTTCATCGACGCTTGAAGGTAGCTGATCCTGGCCGCCTTCTCCGAGGGCAGCACCTCGGCAAACACGTTGGATGCAGGAATGCCCACCTTCTGAGCCACAGCCTGCGCCGTCGTCACGTTGTCGCCTGACAGCATCCACACCTCGATGCCACGCTTCTGCAGCGCCTCGAGCACCGGGGGCGTTTCCTGGCGGATAGGATCCGAGATGGAGAGCACGGCGGCGACCGTCCATCTGCTGGTGTCACGGGGTCGCGTTGCCGCGAGGGCGACGGATTTGGCTTCCTGCTTCCACGCCTCCAGTAGGCCCTGGACCTTGGGAGACAGGACGACTGACAGGTCTCGCATCAGGCTCTCGTTGCCCACCGCAACGTCGAGAGGCTGCGTCTTGCAGCTGGCGGTGATGCCCTTGCCCGGCACCTCTTCGATCCTGTCAAGCTCAACTTGCTTGGGGTCTGCCTTGCAGAAGGCAACAATGGCCTTTGCAATGGGATGACTGCTGTTTTCCTCCGCAGCTTTCATGACAGAGAGTAGAGTCCGTTCATCAAGTCCATCGACAACCTTGTCAGGAAAGATAACAGAATCGGTAATCTGAGGCTCTCCTCCCACTGTAAGCGTCCCCGTCTTGTCAAAGACAACGCAGCCCACCTTGCTTGCCTTTTCAAATGCCTCGCCACCGCCCTTGACCAGGACACCGTACTTGGCTGCGAGACCTCCTCCAACGAAGATGGCCGTTGGAGCAGCCAGCCCAAGCCCACACGGGCAAGCCACGACAAACACGGCAATGGCAAACTGAAAGGCAAACGCAGTTGCACCACCCGACGAGCCCAGTTCGTCGCTCGACACTACATGGGAGAATGCGAGCGCCATCCACACTGCCCAGGTGATGATGGCTATGAGGGTCACCACGGGGACGAAGTAGGACGTGATCAGATCCGCTACTTGCTCCATCGGCGCCCGCTTGGCTTGTCCTTCTCTGACGACTTCGACAATCTGATCAAGCATCGATTTTCCAGAAGTCCCCGTGACCTTGACAATGACGGCAGCCCCCTTGTTGACGGTTCCCGCGAATACCTCATCTCCCTCGCCCTTTTTGATGGGCCGTGACTCGCCCGTCAGACTCGATTCGTCAAACGTCGTCTCGCCGGTCAAGATGACGCCATCGACGGGCGGCGAAGAGCCGTGAGGCACCCGAATAACGTCTCCGTGCTCCAGCTGATCCATATCTATCGTCGTGGTTATTTGACCTTGCAGTTTATCCTGCTCGACCAGTAGAGCAGTGGTCGGCCTCAGCTTGGCCAAAGCTTCAACCGCGTTGCCCGCCTTGGACTTGCTGTACGCCTCGATCAGCCGTCCAGCAAGAAGGAAGAGGGTCAGGAAGACCACGGAGTCAAAGTAGAAGCGGTCGTCGGGGATGTCAACCTTGTTGCGGTCGGCTCCGGCCGCAATCATCTGGCCGATGGACGACCAGTAGGCAATGCTCGTTCCCAGTGACATGAGCATATTCATACTGCCAAATTTGTAGAATCGTTGCAGGAAGGGCGTACGGCTGCTGTGCCGCCACAATGTCCTCAGCTCCTTGATGGCTCGCACATGGAAGACATCCGCGGCAAAAAAGTACACCGGGGTAGCCAGCAGGCAGAGGATAATCTCGACACGGCTTAGACCAGATACCCACGGCTTCATCAGGAAATGCTTGGTGGAGTTGGAGTCTGGCACAAGGCTCATGTAGACAATGCCGAGGACGAAAGTCGGAATGGCGAGCACAATGGTCAGTACTTGTCTGTAAAACAGCTGTCGCGTATGCTTTGCCCTGATAGCCCTCGACCGCTCTTCAAGCGTCGGCGGATGATAGATTTTGGCGCGGAGAGACGGGTCTGTTGCCTCGATGCTCCTGAGGATGTGCCTTACGGTGAACTGGGGCGGATTCGGAATGTAACGCAGTTTCAGAATCGGATGCTCCATGGACGGGTGAACCAGAATCTGTACACCATGTGCCTTGAAGCTGCTGACGGTCTTGCTGATTCTCTGAGGGCAGCGAGGGCAAAATATGCCATCGATGCGGATTTCCACTTGACGCTCATCAGACAGAGGCTTCTTCTCATTGAGATTAACAACTTGGTCGATTGTGGCATCATAGCCAATGTCTTCGATTGCCTCCACGAGATCCTTTTCCTTACCCTCGCCCAAGAAGTCGATTGTGGCACTGTTCCCCACAAGGTTGACGGCAACCTTTGAGACCCAAGGGAGCTTCTGTAATTCGTTTGTGATGGCGGTGACACAAGCCGCGCAGGTCATTCCGCCAACGGACATTGTCGCTCGCCATAACGGGGGCGGGCTTCCGTCACCAGTGACAACGCCATCGAGCGGCACGGTGCCGGTGAGCGGATCCTTGCGCAGGCTCGTGGATGAGGACGACGGCTTGAGTTTCTGGTCGATACTACCGCCGCCGCCGCCGCCGCCGTCGTCCTCGTCTTCGTCGTGTGGTCTGTGAGACCGACATGCCTCGCAGTTCTCCAGATGCGCAGCCTTGGTGGCCTCGACCGCCGGCGCCGGCTGCTTTTGGGCCCATAAACTAGACCAGCTCTCAAAAATGCCGTGGCTTTCGGGCATATCGCCTTGCGAAGTGTTGTTCAGGTCTTCGGCGCCAGAAGCAGTGGTGTCGACTCCACAGATCTCGAAGCCGACATTTTCAAGCGTCTTGCCCATAGCACGTACGAAATCGGGGGAAAAGTCATCGTGCTCAACCGTCACAATGGATGTCACCAGATTTGGTGAGACCCAAACAATCTTGTCGCCAAACGTCTCCTGCAGTAGAGACTTGATGAGCGTCACACATGATGGACAGTGGAGGTTGCCCAGCAGAAAGGCCGTCGTAGCCGTATTGGACGGAGCCATCGTGTGTGCAACCTGCCGTATCCTTTCACCCAGTCGGTGATTTAGCAGTGCTTAGAGCACCCAAGGAGTATCATGTGCTGGTTCCACAGCTGTAGTGACGGTGATGGGAGCGTCTGTCTGGCGGGTAGGACAGGATGTTGATAAGAGGTCCAAGTCGATCTTGTGTAGGTAGGTAGTAATAGTACAAGCTAGCCGTGATACACAATCACTTTCGGGTGAGGCGTGCAATAGCAGTGTTGTTTCCCGGATTACAATATGTTGGAGAATAAACAGTCGAAAGATTGTACAGCTAATAGAGAACCAAGTGCTGCAGTGATGAAGAAAGAATGCTTTCTGGTATGCTGCTGTCGTGGTCGATTATTTATAAGTCGCGGCATCAGCGACTCCTGGCTCACTTTGACGCTAAAACCGGCACAAATGTCGCAGTTGTGAAGCGGCAGGGATCACCACTTGCGAGGCGGCCGCCATTAGCTAACCTGAACAGACGACGTTTGGTGTATCCCGCAGAAACCACGCAGACCTAGAGCTGTCATCAGCATCAGCATCAGCCAGCACCTCACCCGACGTTTGTCAGCCTCGCCTCTCACCGTGCTCACCGGCTGCAGTGCTGTAGAATCGTCCTGAAGATGCCAGGATGCTAAGAAGATGCAGGTTGGCGGCTGTTGGCTTCCCACAGTGTCACACGGTGGCCGCGCTTGGAGCAACAGCATGGGCCAAGCGTTGAATTTGCCAGTGCTGATGCTCAGCAGAAGCCGCGGCAGATGCGTCTGTGGCGCGCAATTTGGCACAGAGCGGCGTCGAGCGGAAATCTATGGCTCATGACTGCTGCAGCCTTGCGGCATCGCGACATTTGTGCCGATTCGGCTGACAAAGAGAGGCGACAGGCCGACGTCATCTCGATTGAAGGTCACGTGATTCTTCTTATAAGTCAAAGGATCGATATAGGTACACACTGAGTTGTGCAGTTCTCTATTCCAGCAGTGAGGAGAGGATATCGACTCTGGAATATCGACTTTGGAATATCGGCTCTGGCATGAAGCTTGAACATGTACACACCACAGGTCATGTGCTGGAAATTGCCGAGCATGGGAAAATGAGCTGTGAGACAACGCGTAGAGTGACTAGCAATGCGCCATCACAGGTATCTGGTAGGACACATAACTGGCAGATGATATCAGCATCAGCATGTGTCTATATGTGTGTTGCTTTGGCAAAAACTGCTGCTCTCGGTGACACGTATCACTTTTTTTTCTCTTGTTGGGCCCTGACCTATGAATTCCTGTCTTGCCGCCAGGGAGGCGTGACCGACGTCGACTTTTTTCCCAAAAGGTGTGTTGCCACTCTCATTGGCTGAACAGCCTCAACTACAGCCACTATCTTATTGTTAGGCCTTTTTTCACGTGGCTGCCGCATATGCAACCTCTTTGCAGATTTCCAAAGAACAATACGACAAGCCTCATAGCTCCCATGTTCTCCCACAGCCTGAACTGCCAGTAATGCATCATAGTTGACGCTGATGATGACAATACCTCGGCATCTCCTTATTGGCGCAAGCAAGACGAGCAGCGGCATCTCGCCCTCTCCTTCCAAAATGCCAGAACCCCAAACTTCCTTCCTCACTCATATCGGAAGTCGGTCCTGCTCCAAAGAGACCTGACCGATAATCCGCACCAATCAAGTCGCCACAGAGAAAATACAGTGGGGTTTCCCGTCTTTTCGGGGTGGGTTCGGCGAGTGGCATCATCGGCGCTAGGCCCAGAGCAGCCTAAGCGAATTGCGTGATTCGGTCCCAGTATCATCAATTTGGATCTCGAAGACTCGTCGAGCAGAGCAAAAGAGAGAGAAGAGCGTTTCATTTGCTCGCAAGATGGACCCTGACAAATCCGTGGCTGGCTCCCGTCCGGGGCGATCCACGATTGCCATGGGCTTATTTGCTCCATGAACCGCCTCTTTGCCTTTTCTCCTGTTCTCCTCCTCTCCTCCTCTGTTCCCCAGCACTTCTTCTTCTTCTCCAGAGTCTTGAGGGTATCGTCCAGACTCGGCCTTTGGAAAGACTCATCACACTCTTTCGAAAATGTCGTCCAAGGTTGAAGAATCCTCCACCCTGCCTTTTGGCAAGCAGGTGCCCTTGTCGGACATCTCTAGCCCGACCTATGTGACGGCCCAGCTGCTTGTCCAGCAGATCGCGTACAAGCTCTCCGACAAGATCTTCTCCTACTCTCCTCCCACCTTTGGCCTTGACGCTTCTGCCAGGCAGTGGGCTGCTGATGAGAGCAAGAACGTTCACGGCTACGCCCCCGATGTTCTGCCTCTCCAGACTCGAACAGGTGCCGGTGCCCTCGCCCTGGGCTACATCTTCTCGCCAGACTTTGACGTCAGCAAGCGCCATATTCCTCAGACCCTGCTGGCTCCGTCGGGTTCTCTTCAGAACCTTCGCGGAACCCTGGACCAGCTCTCCCTTCTCTACAACCTCTCCAGCCCCTTCGTGGCCCATGTCGCTGCCGCCGACTACAGCGCCGCCAACGGTCTCGTCTCCGACTATGAAGTTGCTTTGAGACTCGCTGAAGATCTCGGCTTGGGCCTGGTTGCCAGCTCCTCCGTGTACGAGACCCAGCACATGTCCATCTTTTCAACACTGCTGGCCAGCGTTGTTCCTACTCTTCACATCTACGACGGCATTCGCCTTCCTAGGGAGACTCTGCGAGTGGTTGACGCTTTGAGCGAGACTGGCGTGGCCAACGTGTATAACACCCTCGTCAAGGAGGCTGGCAAGTTGAACCAGCACCTGGATACTGCAGGCAAAGTCCTGGAGCTTCTGAAACTCTTTAACGATGAGCTCGGCACTGTGTACCAGCCATTTGAATACCACGGTCACGAAACCCCTGACGTTGTCCTGGTTGCGCTGGGAAGTGTCGAGACTCAGGTCGCCAAGGAGACTATCAAGAAGATTGCCGGGGATGGAGCCAAGGTCGGCGTCATCAATGTTCGTGTCTACCGACCCTTCATCGAGGAGGCCTTCCTCAAGGCTATCCCCGCCTCTGCCCGCACCATTGCAGTGCTTGGCCAGGTCAACAGCGAAGCCGCTGTGACAGACGAGGCCACACAGTCAGCGCTGTACGGCGACGTTCTTACAGCCGTCACCTTTGCCGGCAAGTTCGAGCAGCAGCCCGAAGTTTTGGACATCAAGTACACTCCTGCCCAATCCCTGACCCCGCAAGGCCTGGTCAACATTCTGCACAAGATCTTCGGAAATGACGACGAGGCCAAGCCTCTGCCTTCTCTACTGATCAAGCCCCAAGAATTCACGTTTTGGGACCTTGATAACTCCGTGTCCGCCAAGTCAGCCGCCGCCCTTGGCAAGTTCCTTGCCCAGGAAGACACCAACAACGTTCAGGTTTTTGAGACGTACGACAACTTCACACAGGGCGGCATTGTCCGAACCGATGTTCGTGCGTCCAAGTACGAGCTGGAAGCGCCCTACTCTGTGACTGCTGCCGAGACCGTGGTTGTTGGTGACGAAAAGATCCTCAAGGATGTCGACGTGCTGGCCAATGTTGTCCCTGGTGGCAAGCTGCTCATCAAGCTGCCAAACTTTAACAAGGCTGATGTCGAAAAGCGACTGCCAGCCGCCGTGCGCAAGACAATCCGTGAAAAGGGTCTTCGCGTCTTCGTTTTGGATCCTGCCGTCTCTCCCGCTTTCGAGAAGGATGCTTCAGTCGCTAAGCTGCTCCTTGAGCTCGCCTTCATGCAAGTCGCTCTGCCAGAAAGCCGTCCTGAGGACTTCGCCGCTCTCGTCGAAGCACAGCCTCACCTGCAGGAGGCTCGCAGCGCTCTTGACCAGGTCCTGTCCGAGCTTGAGGTGCCCGACAGCTGGGCAGAGGTTGAGCCTGATTTCGTCCACCCCAGTCTGCCAACTGACGTTCAGACCAATGCCTTTGTTCCCTTCGAGAAGGAGGAGGCCGAAGAGGCTTGGAAGCTCCAAGATTGGCAGGTTGCCGCCAAGGGCCTGGTCTTTAAGGAGGCCTATGGCACGCAGACGACGCTGCGGCCCGAACTCTCGGTCAAGACCTCCACCGTCCGGGTCAAGGAGAACCGCCGTCTGACGCCCTCAGACTACGACCGTAACATCTTCCACATTGAGTTCGATCTTGGCGACTCCGGTCTCACATACAAGATTGGCGAGGCCCTGGGCATCCACGCGGAGAATGATGAGGAGCAGGTCAATGCTTTCATCGAGTTCTACGGCCTCAACCCCGCGGAGCTTGTCCAAGTGCCCTCTCGCGAGGACCCCGAGGCCCTCGAGGTCCGCACCGTGTTCCAGGCGCTCACGCAAAACGTCGACATCTTTGGCAAGCCCCCGAAGCGCTTCTACGAGGCCCTGTCCGAGTTTGCCACCGACGAGACTGAGAAGAAGAAGCTGGCGGCCCTGGGCGGCAACGACGGCGCCGCCGAGTTCAAGCGCCGCTCCGAGGTCGACACCGTGACCTACGTCGACATCCTCGAGGAGTTCAGCTCTGCGCGCCCCAGCTTCCACGACCTCATCAAGATCGTCAGCCCGCTCAAGCGCCGCGAGTACTCCATCGCCTCGGCGCAGGCCGTCACGCCCAACAGTGTCTCCCTCATGATTGTCGTCGTCGACTGGGTTGACACCAAGGGCCGCACGCGCGTCGGCCAGGCCACGCGCTACCTCAGCCGCCTGCAGCCCGGCGCCGCCGTCACCGTCTCCGTCAAGCCCTCCGTCATGAAGCTGCCCACCAAGGACACGGCGCCGCTCATCATGGCCGGCCTGGGAACCGGCCTGGCGCCCTTCCGCGCCTTCGTGCAGTACCGCGCCATGCAAAAGGCCCAGGGCAAGGAGATTGGCTCCATCCTGCTGTACCTCGGCTCCCGCCACCAGCGCGAGGAGTACCTGTACGGCGAGGAGTGGGAGGCCTACCTCGCCGCCGGCGTCGTCACGCTCATCGGCAGCGCCTTCTCGCGAGACCAGCCCAAAAAGATTTACATCCAGGACAGGATGCGCCAGACGCTGGACAGCATCGCCCAGGCGTACATCAAGGAGGGCGGCAGCTTCTACCTCTGCGGTCCCACCTGGCCCGTGCCGGACGTCACGGCCGTGCTCAAGGAGGCCATTGCCGCCGAGGCCCAGGCGTCGGGCAAGAAGGTTGACCCTACCAAGGAGATTGAGAGGCTGAAGGAGGAGGGACGATATGTGCTCGAGGTATACTAAAAGCGGTTGGCTGAGTATGGATTATGCATGTTTGGAATAGAAGAGCGATGAGCATATAAAAGCAGACCTGCTGTTAGACACAATGATGATGATGTTTTTCACCAACTTGACAATTCTGCAATACTTGACCCATAGTTGACAGTATACTCTTACGACTCTTCACGATCACGCATGTACAGTGAGTATGAAAGCATTGCATTTTAGCCATTCTAGCCTTGGCATACCTCCATCTACCGTTGTCTAGATAAAAGAGCAACTCTTTCAAAGTAACGTGTCGCTTTTTTTTTTCTTGCCATCGAAAACGGACTTCAAACAAATCATGCCGTTTCCTGTCCCATTCCCATCCATTGCACACAAGGTATCTGTTTCAGCAATAATCAAACCAGAATCAAAACAGTTCCACAAAACCCCATTCTCTACCTTACTTGACCAAAGGTGCTATTCTCTCCGCTGGCCTACAGCAGGGTCTCACCGAGCGCGCATCGCACTAGGGAGCAGCCGGCTCTCACAGTTTCCTGCGCTCCGGCCTCGGTGGCTGCAAGGCTGGGGTTGACTTCCACCATGTCGATGGCGACCAGGTTGCCTGTCTGGTGGACAACCTCGCAGATGTAGTCACCCTCGCGGAGGGTGAGGCCGCCTCGGACGGGGGTGCCGGTGCTGGGCGCCCACATGGGATCGAGAGCATCCACGTCGAAAGACAAGTGGATGGGGGTCTCGTCGCCAAGGTAAGCAAGGGCCATTTCCATGACGCGTCCAATTCCGTGGCTGGTACGAGATGCAAAGGTTAGCTCTGGTATAGTTCGAGCGCCGAGTGAATTGTAACATTGGGGCACTTACTGGTCAACGTCGAACATGCTAAAGGCCTTGATGCCATGCTCTCTCAGAATACGCTTCTCGCCAGCGTCCACATCACGCAGACCAATGTACACCAGCTTCTTGACGTTCAGACGCATGGCTTCCTCGATCCAGCCAAAGTACTCTTCTTTCTCCTCCTTGGCAATGCCGGTGAGGAAAGCGACAGGCATGCCGTGGATGTTACCACTGCCGCTCGTCTCGGGAGTGTTGATGTCGGCGTGGGCGTCCACCCAGATGACGCCGATTTCGCGGCCCAGACGCTCACGGGTAGCCTTGGCAGTTCCGGCAATGGTGCCGATGGCAATGCTGTGGTCACCACCGAGCGTCAGGGTAAGGCGACCCTTGGAGGAGTGCTCGTATGTATCGGAGGCAATCTTTCGGGTGACGGCCGAGACGAGGAGGGGGTTCTTCATGCCGCGATAATCGGGGTCGGAGGCAGGAGTCAGGTCCTTGTAGTTTTGGACCTTCTCGTCGCCGTACAGCTTGTAGCCGAGCTCCTCTTGAATCTGGGTCAAGAGACCAGACTCGATGAGAGCGGTGGGGCCTGCATCAACACCAGCTTTTGGCTGTTGGGCAACCAGTCAGCATCAGGTTTTTCATATCCATTGGGGAGTCAACTTGATGGCAAGGGAGAGTATATGTCCCGAGATGGTCGCAAAGAGTGTGGTGGAAAGCGTACCTGACCACCAGAAAAGCCCACGGTGACAACACCGAGGTCCTCGGGGTGTGAGAGGAAGCGGCTCTTGACGGTGCTGGTGTTCATCTTGGGCGATTGGTTGCAGTTGAAGTAATGAAGAACGAAGATCCGTAATTTATGAGGATTCGTCAAGATTCTCGAATTCAAGTTGCAAGAGTTGGCAAAAGAAGCAAAAGAAAAGAGAATCGACAGATGGTCAACGATATAGATAAATTGCTGGATGTGGAGGAGCTGGAGAGAAGAGTTTGAGTTTGAGGCTTCGGCGAGGCGGGCAGCGGCCGGGACCCGTGTAGATATAGACTTCGGGTCACATGGGCGTCCCCTATCAGAGGGCGGTTCCTGGGCTCAATCGAAGGGGGGCCGGCGGCTGCGTCTGCGCCTGCGTGCTGCTTGTCTGAGCGCCATTTTGCCAAAGGCCGTGGGCTAGGCCCGTACAATTGGGCAGGTCAAGAGAAGGCGTTGGAATCCATGTGTGCGCGCGTGTCTCTGGCGCGGATTCGGGCTAGTAACTTAGAGGTAAAGGGGTGTTGAGCAGGAGACGGAACTAGTAACTTAGAGGAAAACAGAGACTCTATATAAGTAAGTCGCTTTGCGCAAGGAGCAGGAAAATAAATGCTGGCAAAAGGCTTGAGTCGGCAATGCCACGCCGCGGCGGCCGGGGGGACTCCACCGCGGGGCTCGTCCAGCAGCGGCCGGGGGCCTGTTCACGAGACGAGGACGAGATGCCGAGGGAGGTGGAAGAGGTGCGTCTGACAAAGACGGGAGAGTTGATGCTGCTGATGGTGACGGTTTGTCGATGCCGCTGGTTGGGCTGATGTAAGTTGGTCGAGGCAAAGGGGGGGGGTGCTCAGATTGCTTATCTCTGTGAGCCAGATTAGATAGATATCTTCACCGCTCGGCACAAATCACATGAAAGAATCATTACAGGCAGGACCTGTCCAAGCACTGCTTCCCAATGCCACCTGGGGTATTATTGCTGCCAATCTCTAGGTAGGTTTCTACCTACACTGACCTTGGAGAGAGACATCCTCTAAGTCATCTCCCCGACTACACGCCGACTGCAACACAACCTCAGGCATTTCTCATGGATGGCTTCAAAAAGCGCTGGATAAGCTGAATGACGTTGGAGCCCCTCCAAAGCCGCGTGTAGCCTTGTCCTTTCCCTATCGCTCCCTCCACCTGATAGCACCGATCAAGTGACCCCTCTCCCACCAACCAACCGCCCGAATTGGCGTTATGTAATAGCAGACCCGGCCAGTAAGACATGAGTCAAGGAAACTGAATATTGCAGCGACGATAAAATAAAATGCAAAAATCGCAAGAAAATCGATAAATTCGATAAATTCGCAGCCAACAAATCCATTTAATCGAGGGCTTTGGTCTCCCCCGAGGACAAGCGGGAGTCGGAGATACGACCGCTAGTGCATGGTAGGCAACTGGCTCATAACTCCGAGGCACGGGCTAAGACAAAAGGACGCAACTCCCACATCAATCCGTCCAAGGTGTCGAACTATTCTTAATTGCGATTCTATCCTAGAAGAGCAGCATCTATGCCCAACACAGATGCTTCGTGCATCATGGTTCGCAATAAAGGCCACGCGCAGGGGCAACCAGCCACGAGTCACTGCCGCTAGGGCCACGGATCTGATCTGGATCTGATCTCCAGCTTGTCGTGGGTATTTTGGACGGCGCTTCCCCTGACGAACGACAGGAGCATCAGATGGCACGGGGTACGGAGCGAATAAAGCCCAGAGATGGTGCAGATGACAGTCAAGTCTCTCGGGATCGAGCCAGCTTTGGCGCGATAATTATAAAGAGACGGGTGCTGTGCCTTGATGACTGTCTCTTGTAGCGCCTCATTACAATCTCGGGGGAGATGATACCGTATTATCGGAACAGTTGTAAATGTCTCGAGACAGCCGCGCTCCATAGCTCCTATTGCGCATCCAATCCGGAGAGCCAGGTCTTGCCGAAACTACCTGCATTGTCGCTCTCGTGAGGTTCCATAGTTTGATATGTTTCTTTCCAACCTTTGACGACGTCTCTATCTCTTGACATGGATGACTGCCTACAAACACAGGATCCACTCATGCCCTTTTCACAAACTCTTATTGCCAGGCGCCATATTCTACAACCTGCCTAGAGGGTTATTACATTGTCGTAGCATATATCAATTCGGACACTAGACGATGAAATCCAAGCATCAATTCAGCAAATTCAGTGTCTGTACGTCCTCGATCCATCATCGCTCATGTTTCGTTGGGGCTTGTAGGGTAGCAGCTTGCGAAAAGCAGCGTGAAGCATCTGGAGATACAGGCGGCCGCCAGCCTTTCATACCCAAGGTACCCAGGTATTGGCAAGACAAAGCGTTTCTGCTGTTCGATATTTCGAACCTACCTTGCTACTTACCTATGCAGTCCGTATGTCATGATTGCTTGTTCTGATGGCCTGTTCTGCTATGTACGGAGGTCGGTCCTGAATTCTTCATCACGAAGCCAATTAGGAGAGCTCCCAGAAGCAGGCGACGAATAGGACGCTGAGGCCATGGTACTGAATTGCCGCACGACGCATCTGGTCAATCCCTTGCAAAGTAGCAGCTTGTCATCTTTGCGCAACTCAACCACACCCACTCACCACGAAGCTCGACCTCATCGCAAGGTTGGGTCGCCCACCAATCGGGACGACGTCCACGACGGCCGTGTTGACAAGGCAAGATTGCAAGGGGCGACACTCTACAAGTCAGATGCCCGCTAAAGGCGTCCATAGGGGTAAGCAAAGCTGCTGCGCTAAGCGGTGACTTTAGCGCCTTATTAAATAGATAATAAATATCCTATCCTTATAGTAACGCTTTATAAATAGCCTTATATTATAATATAATGCTTAAAAAATATAAACTTATAATTCTATTCTTATATACACTTTATTAAATAAAGTAAACTAAAATAACTAATAACTTAAGTAATAATAATAAATACACTTTTTTTATTAATACTAATACTTACTTTTAAAATATATACTTAGCTATAGTTTTTTAAGCCTTATAAGCCTTTTTATAACTTATATTATTATTATTATTATTATTATTATTATTATTATTATTATTAAAATTAAAATTAAGGGTAGGATTATTATTATTAAGTATATTAATTATAAAATAAAAGGCAGTATAGTATTATTTTATTATTTACTTAGCTATTAGTATAAGTATAAGAATAGGAAATAAAAATATACTTTCTTATTTTACTTATTAATAGTATAGTTAAGTCTTTAAATAAAAAGCAGAAGCTTATAATAACTATATTATATTAGTAATAAGAAAAGCCTTATTTTAAAGGAAAAAAGTATATTATAAATAGTAAAAGTAGCTGCCTATATAATAAAGCTTATAGCGCTTAAAGTTACTATTTAAATTTATATAAGTATTAAAGGAGGTTACTTTTTTACTTATAATAAGGCTTTTAATATAATTCTTATAAAAAGAATTTTATAAAGCTACTACTACTACTACTACTATTATTACTATTATTATTATTATTACTGCTATTATTAATATAGTTTTTTTCTTAAGCTTTATTTATAAGTAAGTTAGTATTAAGCGTTAAGTAATAAAAGGAGATAATAAAGGATATACTACTTTAAAAAAGGTAGGCTTAAGTATAATAATAGCTTTACTTTTATCTTTAAGGTTAGCTTTTTTAAAAGGCATAATAAGGATAATAAAGATAATAAGGATAATAAGAATAATAATAATAATAATAATAATTATAAAAAAAAAAAAAAAAAAAAAAGTAATAGCTTTATTTATTTTATTATTTAATATATTTAATACTATTTTAATATACTTTTATTTACTATATATTTTACTACTCTCTTTATATTAAAAAAGCTTTTAAATAGTAATATAAATATATTTCCTTTCCTTTATACTTTTAAAAGCTTTTTTAAACGCTCCTTCTTTTAATGCCTTTAAATACTCCTTCCTTTAATGCCTTTAAATACTTAAGCACTGCTCTTATACTCTTATACTCTTATACTTTATAACCTATCCTTTATAACCTATTATATCTCTTATCTTTTTAATAAAAGCTAAATATTAAGTATTAAAATTAGTCTAATAGTTTAAAAGGGGTAGCAGCCTTTAATTACTTAAATTAATTATATATATATTTACTTTTTATATATAAAATATTTAGTAAAATAGCTAAAGTAATAATACTGCCTTATAATAAGGCACTTAACTTTTATAAAAGCAGTTAAAAAAAAAGCTTTAAGCCTTTTTATTTATATAAAGGCTAAGTATTATAAAATAAATAACTAGGTTAATTAATTTAGCCTATAATATATTAAAGCTAAAGTATAAAAAGTTTTTACCTTTTTAATATTTTAATTATTTTTTCTTATAATAAAATTACTAGTTTATATAATAAATTATATATACTAGCTAGTATAAAGTATAGCTATAATAATACTTAGTAAAAGTAATTATAAGTATAAAAGTATTACCTTTTTTATTATACTTACTATTATAATTATTAATTTAAAAAGGCCTTTTATATTATAAAAGCTATTAAAAAGTTAAGTATTTAAATCTTATATAAAGTATTTTTTTTTTATTAAAAAGATATTATATAAAGAGGTAAAAGTAAAAAAATAAAATAAAAAATAAAAGGCATATAGTATTTATATTAAGGGATAAAGCTAAAGCTATTTAAACTTTAATTATATATTATATAAAAAAAGAAAAAAAAGAAAAAAGACTATAAGCTTATATAATAGGCAGTAAAAGTATTTAAGGTATATAGTACTTTTTATTAAGGTAATAAGAATTAATAGCTAAATTAATATTAATATAAATATTAAAAAGATTAAAAAAACTATTAAATAAAATACTTTATAAAGTCTTAACTTATAATACTATTATATATATAAAGCTAATAAAAAAGTCTTATTATAAAATATTAATAATAGCCTGCTTTATTATACTTTTTTATAACTTATAAATTATAATTATATAAGTAATAGTAAGTAGGAATTATATTTAATTATATAAAGCACTTCCTTTAATAAAATCACAGCTTAATTAAAAAATTAGCATTATATTATAAAGATTTACTTTAAAAAAGTAGGCAGGACTATTATAGTAATTAAATTATATAAAAATAATAGCTAAATACTATATATAAAGGTCCTTAATATTTTAATATTAAAAAATATTATAAACTTAGCTAATAGTATTATTAATAAGCTTAATAAATATTTAAATATTTTTAATTAATATAATATATATATTAATATAAAAGTATAATTATTAATAAAAATTACTAATAGCTAAAAAGTTAGCTTTTTTTATTTTTAAGCTAGTATTTAATATTATAATATTAATATATAGCTTATAAAGCCTTTTTATATAGTCTAGGTTATACTTATAAACCTAAGCATTTATTAAATAAATATATACTACTAAGTTAAAATACTAAACTTTAAAAAAGAGAAGTAAGTATTATATTTAAGTAGTTAAAAAATACTAATTTTTAATAGTAAAAGTATTTTAGTATATATATTAAAATACTAAGTAAAAAGAGGCTTAATTATTACCTGCTTACTAAATAACTTACTTTAACTTAATAGTAATACTAAAGAAATAATATATATTATAACCTGTAATATTAATAAGATTTAGCAGCTAGGCAGGTAAAAAAAAAGGCTTTTTTACTTATAAAAAGGAGCTAATAAAAGTCTTTTAAAAAAAGTATGCTTTAGCTATTAAAGTACTTATTTTAATAAGTTAGGAAAAGCTTATATAAGTATTTATTAATATAAGCTATAGTATAAAAGCTACTTATTAATTTCTTATTAATAATAAAATACTTAATAAAGCTAAGCTTCATATGAAAGTTAAAAGCATTAGCAAAAAAAGAGGTAAAAG